GCGTTGCGGTTCCCTGCGGGCAAACGCAGCCCACCGTACACGGTGGCCTCGCCCAAGCGGGGGGCGGCCGCCAATGCCAGCGCGTAAAACAAATGCACGAAGCCCAGCCCAGCCACGCCCGGCGGCAGCCAGCAGTCGAAACACCCCTTTGCTGCCCCCGGCCCCGCCCTGCGCGCCGCAGGCATGCCAACGTGAGCGGCGCCCCCATCATGCGTCCGCTGTGGTTTGAGTTCCCGGACAACCCCCTGACCTTTGCGGCCGAAGACGAGTTCCTGCTGGGCCCGGGGCTGCTGGTCAAACCGGTGTCGGCGCCGGGGGTTGACCACGCCGACACACTGCTGCCCAAGTGAGGGGCGGCGCGTCTGGCCGGGGGGACGCACCTCGCAGCAGTTCGAGGCATCGTGGCGCCAGCGCCAGCGCGCTTGAGGGGCCAGCTTAGCTCCTACGCCAAAGCAGCGGTGGCAGCCGCATGCGTCGCATGAGTCTGGGCGTCGGAGCCCTGTCCATCTCAATTTTGAACACTCCTTGAGCGCTCCTGCTGCCGCCGCCGACGCCGCCGCCGCTGCTGCTGACGTTGCCGCCGCCGCCGCCGCCGCCGCTGCTGCTGCTGCTGCTGCTGCTGCTGCTGCTGCTGCTGCTGCTCACTCCAGCAACGCATGTGTAACCCGCTGTTGCCCGCGTCACCCCGTGTGTCACCCGCGCAACCCGCCCCCCACACCCCCCCCAGGGAGTCTATCTGGTACGAGTCCATCAGCGGCGGCGTGATGGGCAAGGATACCTGGCTCAAGGGCAGGCCGCAGGTGCGCCGCTGGGAATGGTGCTGGAGGCACGGCATGGGGGGTGTGCTGGCGGGATGTGGGGGTGGAGGGGGGTGCCAGGGGCTGTAATGGGCGCCCTTATGGAGGGCTGGCCACACCTGCGGCCTGAATTTCCCTTCTGGAAATCCAACCAGCAATTGACCACACCTCCACCCCACCTGTAGTAAGTAACCCAGGGAAAGCCCCAAACATGCATAAATCCTCAATACACACCGTCACCACCCAACCACCCACAAATCGATCATCCACTCAATCACAGGTGAGCCGCCTGGGCGTGCACATGGACTCCATCCCGGTCTTCTACAGGGGCGGCCACATCATCACGCGGAGGTGAGGGGGCGTCGCGGCCGGCCTTGCAGACCTGCGCAGCCCCGGGTGCAGCAGCCGCGCGGGCTGCGGCGGCGCGCCTACAGACTCAGGGTGCAGGCGCGGCGCAGCGCTCGCCGCCGCCGCCGCCCTTCAATTTGCAGGGGTGCTGGGCCAGCTGCGACGCCGTCTCACTTCCCCTATTCCCCCCTTTGCCCCCCTGAAGCCATCACAGCGACCGCTGCCCTGGCCTCGTCCCCCCTGCAAACCGGCTGCATTCGTCGGGCCCCTCCCTTCCACAAGCACACATCAATTTACTTGCACACATCCGCACACACACAAATACACACACACACACACACACACATACACACACACACAACACTGCAGGGAGCGCGCGCGCCGCAGCACCCAGCAGCAGGCGCGCGACCCCTTCACCCTGGTGGTGGCCCTGGACCAGGCCGGGACGGCCCAGGGCGACCTCTACGTTGATGACGGGCGCAGCTTCGCTTTCAAGAGGGGCGTCTACACCCACCGCAGGTGCGCGGCGCGGCAGCTTCCTGCGGGACTTGAGGGGACGGGGCCATCGGGCGCCTGCGTCGGGAGTTGGGGCGGGGTTGATTGGGGGAGCGGCGCGGGATGGGGCGCGCGCGTGGCAGCCGCGCCGCACGGGGCTGTGCGAGGATGGCGGGGTCGCAAACGGTGGCGGCGAGCGCCTGGAATCCACAAAGCGGCCCGGAGCGGCCCCGGCCTCCAGCCTCCACGTCGACAGACCCTCACACGCACAGACGCACGCACACCCGACACGTGTCGCTGTCTGCCTCTCCCTTCGCGCAGCTTCTCGTTCGCCGGCCTGAAGCTCCGCAACGCGCCCTACCCCACGCCGGCGGGGCTGCCGCCGGGCACCTGGGACCCCGACCTCAAGATCGAGCGCGTCGTCATCCTCGGACTCCCCAAGGGCCAGTCGTACGAGGTTACGCTGTCCGGGGAGTCCGGCAAGGCGCGGCGGCTGGAGGCGGCGCCCGGCGGCGCAGACCCTGGGCTGCCGCCCGCGCACGGGGAGGCGATCGTGATCCGCGCCCCGGGCACGCCCCTCGGCAAAGACTGGGAGCTGAGCCTCTCGCCGGCCGGCAAGGCCGCCGCGCAGGTGTGATGTCCGGCGCCCGCTGATTGGCAGCGGCGGCGCGCTTGCGGGCGGCTCGCGGGTAGGGCTTGCGGGCGGTGGGTGCAAAGCGCCGGGGGCTTTTCAGAGCAGTGCTGGCCCCTGAGTGAGTGTCAATGGCTCAAAGGGCGTCCGTTTTGGAGTGCAGCGCTTTGTGCACATGCCGCCGCGGCGACCCGTGGTGCGATTCTCTGGTTTGGAAACTCTCCTTTCTAGTTCATGTGGGTTGTTTGATGGAAATTCAAAACTGCTGTAACTTCGGCCGAAATCTGGAGTTTGTACCCGGGGTTGGGCTAGTTTAGGTGGGGGGGCTTCCGGCCCAGCCCAGCGCTGCCAATGCGACTAGATATGCGAGATGCAGCCAAGAGGCATGCCCGCCATGGCCGGAGCCGGCCCGGCGCGCAGGCGCTGCCTGCTGCCCAGCGTAACGTGATGCAGGCGGTGGCTGTGAGAGGCGGCACTGGAGCTGACGTTGGTGTGACATTTCAAACCTTCCCTCGCTCTCGACAGCTGCTAAAGCGGTACGCTAAGGGACTGCGTTGCGTTCTTCAAGAGATGCCTAAAAGCTGTGCCATAATTGCATCGCACTGCCCCGCCAGGCTCGCGGCAGTTGACAAACTATGGAATGCAGCAGAAGCCGCATCAAACCAACTCGCCGCCTGCCGGTCGGCACGCCCTGTACTGCCGCGACCCACTCGACCTTACTTTCATTGTGTCTAGCCAGCCACAACACCCTGAAACCCGTTCCGTGCGTTGAGGCCCAGGGCTACTCACCCAGTGTCGCTGGACACTGGGGCCCTGCTCGGGTTGTCTTGTGGCTACTGCAACCATGCAGCAGGTCGTTCTGGTTTGGACGCTGTGCACTCTCGTAGCAGGGGCGCACGCGTCGCTGGAGTCCACCAGCCCAAAGCCGATTCAGGTCTCCAAACAGTTGCCGGAGGCTGAGAACATCGGGTAAGCTGCAGGACAAGTAAGATGCCAGCCGGCCGGCGGGAGCGCTGCCAGATCGTAGGGCCGAGGGGATGAGGTGGCAAGTGACAAAGTGCCGCCGCCGGCTGGCGCAAACCCGACCCGTGCTGCGACGCCTGCCGCTTCGCAGCAAGTCCCTGCCAGATTCGACCCCAGTGATCCTGGACAAAACAGCTGGCCTGGACCCCGAGCAGGTGAGCTCCCTACCTTTCGCGGCTTTGCAGGGCGAACCCTGCCCGGTCCTGCCGCCGCCTGGAGTGGCCCCGCCGGTACCGGCGG